ACTCATGGTGGGTAACTGATGCACGTCATTTGGTGTCGTGATTTGATTCAAATTGTCAATTGGTGGTCATTTTTTATTTGCCCCATGAGTTCTACTTGTTTCTTAGACACACTTTCACCAATTTTGTTCAAAGTTGATACAAATTCAGGACACAATACTATACAGGGATTTATTTTTCATTTGTTGAACTTTGACCAATTGGTGAACATTTTTGTAAAACAAAAATTAAATCACATCAACCATTTCTCAATCATGTCAATTTTATCTTGATACTAGTACTTAGGTTATCGATGTACTAGTCTGACATGTAGGCGTGAGTGGCATCCTCGCTGGCCAAACGGCATCAGACCTCACTAATGCCTGACAGAATAGTGAATGTTTCGTTGGCAACATCAATACTACGAATACGCAAAGTTCACGCTTTCTTGCAATGTGTTGCAATAAATATTCATTTTGGTGGACATGATAAAACAGTCAATCAAAGCCGCACTGACTGTTTTCAACAAGATGATAAACTTTGGGCGGAAATAAACTCTGCGTGAATGGTTACTCTTTGATGGCTGTCACTATCTGTCATTCCTGCAATTTGATTGACAGAAAATAGTCAGAGGATATGAAAAACTACATCCTTCTGTCAGGCGTGTGTTGGGTTTAAAGCACCCGGAGGGCGCAACTCACACGATCTTGACCTATCGATGTACATTATTTAATTCAAATTGGCTGGCTGACAGCCATGTTTCTTGTTTTAATGTAAATTCCTTAATATTCTTCATCCTTGTGTGTTTTGATACAACACATACATATAATAATATTGTATTGTACAATAACGGATGCTGTTGAAATAAAAAAAAAAAAATATATATACAGGAACAAAAAGAAAATATTTTGAGTACTTATATTGATTCTATGTTATTGTTGTGCAGCCTTCTTTAGGTGTGAATATTTCCGGTAAGGCTTTACTGTTTGCAATTCTGAGTCCTGTTGGTCCCTACTTTCAAACTGGCTCATTCAGCCCTGTTAAATTAATGGCAGATCCAAGGTATGTCAGAGCTTTTAAAGGAGGACCAGGAGACTGCAAATTAGGAGGGTGAGTAACAAATTTCAATTTCGTAAAGACAGTGAACAAATCCTTGAATATGTATGTCATTTTGAAATGTTTTCACTCAGTTTCGTAAATTGCATCATGGGATAATATTTACTAAATTGAAAAACAACTTCTATTAGACATGACATTGCCTAATAAAAGTCATTCATATTAAGGTCAATGATTTGGAGTTGCCAAAAAACAAACTCAGAATACTTTCCTGGCAAAACTTGTTCATTTTCTATTTTAGAATACCCAATGTTGATATCTCAGAAGTTTTAACCTTATTCTGACACTAAAACTTATATTTAAGATACCAAGAACTATAGATCAAACCCTTGTCTTCACATGTACTGTATTGTATAGCTGAAAAATCCCTTGTGCTACTCCCAACAATAAGGACTAGTACTATATTCAATGTATTAGAAGTGCATGTGAGTTGTGACAACTCCAATTTCAATGACAGTTTGCCATCAGCCCATCTACACATGTGTTTTCATTTTTCTTTTTTACTTTATTCTATTCCAATTACTGATCTATTGTAAGCTAGTGTAAATTTTAATTTTATTGATTTACATTTGAGTGAGTTTTCTCAGTTTTAAATTTAATATTGAAGTTGAAAACATGTTCTGTTCTGTTTTGTTTTTTGTATTTACATATTGCAACTTTAAGAGAAAGTTATTATAATAACATTATTTTCATTCTGCTTTGGCAGAAATTATGCACCAACAATTATGGTACAACAGGAGGCAGCTAAGCTTGGCTGTCAACAAGCACTGTGGCTATATGGCGATCAACACCAGTTAACAGAGGTTGGTACGATGAACATTTTTATGTACTGGAAGAATACACAAGGAGGTATGTCTGATTCCTGATATGTTTTCTTGGAGAGTGATGATATTATAATTAACGGTTATTTAAGGTAGCAACAGATGTAAAACATGTTGAAAATTTATCTGTAATTTAGACATTCTCTAAATATCACTTTGCATGCTACTGTAACAACACGTACATCATCTAAAAGTTTAGATATAGGAAAATACGGTAGTGCATATGCTGTATATATTGCATGGTTTCAATAATCTACTAAATCAACATAACTTTCAAATGCTTTAACAAACCTCTCTGTATACATTACCTTGCAGAAATAGAGCTAGTTACCCCACCTTTAGATGGTCTTATTCTTCCCGGTGTGACCAGAAAAAGTTTATTAGAATTAGCAAAGAAATGGGTAAGTTGTCAAAAGTGTCAATAACTTTGTAGCAATACTCTTTGTATGTACATCAGGTTATGATTTGTTGTTACTAAGTGTCATCCATGTTGCATCAAAATAAATATTTAAATTATTAAATATAGCTATCTTCATACAATCAAGTCAAATTTTTTGTGCATTTCAATATGAAAGGAACAGTTGCGTTACGGCATATCATGTTCAGATGTGGGTTCCACCATGTAAAAAAACATTGCTTTAACAAAATTCAAACATGCTTGCATGATTAAAATAATTTTAAATATTTCATCAAATGAATATTAATATTAGTTTATGATAAATTATAATCCACTAATTTAATACTTGTAATAAAAATCTCAAAATAAATATATTGTCTTTTCAATTGTGTAGTATATTTTCATTCATTGTTGATCCTTGTGATAGTGGGGAAGTGCCTGACATTTTTCTCATTTCCCGGCAGAATGAGTTTAAAGTAACTGAGAGGACATTTACAATGGCTGATGTAATGAAAGCTTTGAAAGATGGCAGAGTAAGTACATGTGTGCACGTTGCAGGAGGTCTGCTGGCTATAAGAAAGCATAGAGTGCATTGAAACTTATTTACCAGTACACTCTATTCATGTTGTAATGTAGTCTTTTATTGCTTTACAATATATCTCCCAGTTGTTGGCTTTTGTTGTCCTTACTCCAGTAAATTTCAAAACCAGGAATTTATAATTCTGGATTTGATCTTGTCCATGCAGTGTGTATGTATGTCTGTGCATGTGACATAACTTTTGTTTTGTCTGAATCTCATTGATGAAGAAGTTGTACAAGAACAAAAACATGTTTAGATGTCAACGGAAGCATCCCTGAAAACAGTTTTCTTGTATAACTACAAGAACATAAGAAGTGTGTATTTGAATTGGATATCTTACATATCTTGGATATGTGTTTTGAATATATATCAACAAATATTTTGAAATTTTACTTGAACATCCTCATTGATATTTGATTTTGTTTATTTAGGTTTTAGAGATGTTTGGTGCAGGTACAGCGTGTGTGGTGTGTCCAGTGGGTAGTATTCTGTATGGTGGTCAGACATTAGAAATACCTACTATGAGTGAAGGGGCACCAATTGCCAGTAGATTCTTTAAAGAACTAACTGACATTCAGGTAAGATTGACAATGTAATTTTTTGATTCAGGTGTTAGTTACAGCATGTGTGGTGTGTTCAACTAGGATAATATTTTCAAAAAAAAATAATTTTAAATTACTGACAGGTAGCCAGTTTGTTTTCAAAAGTTACTTGTAAAGCCTTAATTGTGACATGCTTTGTGTTCAAACCTTCGTATCAAACAATGTCTTACAATAAAAAATGAGATGTAATTGTTTGACAATAACTGAGAAAATAAATCTAGCTTTGACCTGATTGATAGTATGTGCCATGGCTATAATTCACTGACTTACCTCTTAGTTGTGTTTTTTCTTTCAGTTTGGTCGAACTAAAAGTAACTGGACGCTGGATGTAGAGTGATGATCAGTAAATGTGTGGCATTATAACTCACTGTATTGTTAAGCAAACTAATCATGGCAATATTAATAAAATGAACTTATCCGGGAAATATAAATATTAACAATAATATGGTGCCCAGTGAATGCTACTGGAAAAAAATATTTTGTCAACGAATGTAAATTTTGCGGTTTTGCTTATTTTTTAATTGTCTGAAAACTACAGTAAATTTTTGTGTTTACTCTAAATACACATGAAATGGACATGATATGTGGGTATTTTGAATAGTGTTTAATTTACCCCGGTAATAGGAAGTGTTCTGGTTTGAAAGAAGTGATCCAAATCTTTGAAAGTAAGCTGCAAGGAAATGTGCCCTGTTGATTTCACAGCATTTATTGTTGCTATCAAAGAAGATGAAATAGTTGGTGCTAAATGTGTGAAATAAATTAACATAATAAATCGTGTGAGACAAATTTCAGAAAGACGTGACAAAATCAAATTTTGTTGCAGTGCACATTTAATTAGGATCCTCAGACAAGTCACAGTGACATGACGAAATTGTAGCCGATCAAGACTCAATGAAATTACCTTAAGATAAAAATCATAGCAATGAAAAGTAAACTAATTAAATATATATATTTAACTTTAAGATGGTTATGTTTTGTATAATTGCTGTAGCATTGGTATATCATGCCCAAGTCTTGTTTTTCATCAACTGACGAGTGTGTAGACATGCGTACAGCTGTTAGTTTGTTATATCTCAACACCACAGACATACTTATGGTACCAAGTGCAATGTCAATAACAGGGTTCAGGGTGGAATACTTTTTAGGGGTTAGGATGATTTTGAATTGCCCAAACTGTCTATTTTCTGTGTACTTTCCGAAAAAAGGGAATTGGCAGAGCAATAAAAAACAGTCTAAAAGACTGTTTGGTGACATCGTCTTTGAATATGTTTACAATAATTAATGAAGCTTATTTAATCATGTTGCAAACATTTCATATTCATCATTTTGTCGTGTTCACATATTTAATTCGAAACTCCAAAATATAAACTCTATGCAAAATTTGTTTTCAAGTTGATCATGTCAACCACATTATTTCTTTCTGACATTTATGTTTATTAAATCATATTACATACTAGAAATGCAATCATCTATGCATGACAAATCTAGCAATGCTAGATCAGATTAGGTGTTTTAGGAATGGATTGTAGGGTACCACTTTGTTTCCGAGTGAAAATAGGGAATTTTTTTTCAGATATCTTTGCTTGTCTCATTTGTATCTATTGGCGAGATCAAAAGACAACACTGCAGTCAAATAATAACGCTGACAAAGACTGATTATAGTAGCACTTGTTATGAGGCTTGAAGTGATCAGGCTCGAAACAGCCGTCCATTGATCTTGTTCACAAATTTACCTTAGTATTGTTAACATAGGTTGAATAGTTGTTATGCTACCATTATTTAATATAGTTATTTATACTTGAGGGCTTTTCAAAAGGTTTAATGCATTTACCTTTAATGCTACTAAAATAATATATGAATTTAATGACTAAAATTTGTTTGGCCATTGTTGATAATTTTGCCTTTTATACAATGTAACATTTTCATTTTGCCATGATAGCATGTTTAGAAACTCAATCGTTTTTTTTTTTTTATTATTTGTGAAGATCTCTCTGGTACTGTACATTTATTTGCTCTTATTAGAAGTCAGTCAAAAATAATTTGGCTTCTAATAGAGTCAATAACATTATTCGTTTATGGTCAATTGTAAATTTGATATGATGGGGCAGAGTTGGCGCATAGTCAACAGGCAGGGCTGTGTAACCTCAAGTGATTTTGTGTGGTCTTATGTCGAAACACTGATTATTGTTTTCATTGTTTCAAAAATAATAATATTATTCACCTGGTGTTTAATTATGTTTGAGTGTGTTCAAGTTGTAACATTAACCCAACTTACTGGTAACATGTTTCTAATTACTGTACTGTGAAACCATCACAACACTGGCCAAAAATGGGTGTGAATACTTGATTATACTTGTTTATGTGAAAACTTAGACATTATGATTGAAGTTGAGAAATGTTTCAGATTGGCATTTGGATTGTGTTATTACAATCATAGAAACTGTTTTCACAAAATAGCAGGTGACAAGGGAGTTTCAGAAATGTATTATTTTCACACATTTCAAGAAATTTGATATTGCTGGATATAATGCACAACTCTTATACATAAATAACTAAGGTTGCTCAAATATTGATCCTGCACGAGTTTGCACAAGATTATGGAAATTTTCATGCTGTAATGATTTCTATCCGCAGATTCATGGCCTTTATTTTTAATAGGTGTCTATTCAACACTGTATATTGTAAAGAAATCCTTATGTGGTGAAGACGTGTAAATAAAATTGCTGTGTGGTATTTTGAAACTTTTTCTTTTTTGCAGTTGTAAAGTAACACCAACGTGTTGGTCATTAGTCCATGTTTCATCTTTCATGTAATTATGTACGTGTGCACATATCTTGCATTGTACATGTATAACCCATATCTAGTATCTAGATGTATTTGTTACATTATCCAATCCAAGATGGCTAAAGTTAAAAATTGAGCTATTTCAGTTGTGCATGGACATTTACAGCGGGTGCAAGCTAAATTTGTACAGGTAGCTTGCAACTTCCTTTGAAAAGTCCCTATCAATATTCCAATCACTCTATTAACTTTCCCTGACAGTTGAAACAACCTTAAATAAGATTCATATAGATAATTTACAACTTCTTTGTACAGTGCTTTCAGAAAATCCATTCACAAAATTTACAGTTTATAAACGGAAATTATTTATAAACTTGAAAACTGTTGTTGACCAATCACAAAATTGCTTATGACGTCACTGCAGATGATTGTTCAATCCTAAAAAGGACGATCTGTGGGTAGGCGTATTGACCAGAATCTTATTGGCTTTGCAGCACATTGTGAAAGACCATACAAATTATTATAGCCAATCAAGTGCTTTTGAATGAAACATTCGTTAAATATGTTATAAATTAGTTACTAGGGAATATGCATTGAACATAAAACATAATTAGAGAGAGCTTTTTGCACAAATCATTTTCAGATTCAAAATGGCTGACTGGCACCCATTTTGTTTTAACAAATTCAATCCCAATGCCATAAATCTGAGATGCTTTGACTGACTGGAATCAAATTTGACACGTACAATACATAATGACATCATTATACGGTATTTATATAGCGCTGAAGTTACACCACATTGTATACTTCACAAAATGCATATTTTTAGGTTTTGGGAGATTGTCTAAGTTTGCCAACAATTGGTATCTGTCATTAATTTGTTCAGTGTGCGATACAAGGTGCCCTGTTATTGATGACATAATCTACTTTGTGTTGTCGAAACATGACATTACTGTCCTGTCCTGACCTGAAAGATGTTCTGAAAGGCCAAAAGTGATCTCTGAACTGCAGTGATTTCCTGTCAATTTATGTGGTGGCGTCTGTCAGAGATGATGAACCCTTGCATCCAATACGTGTCCCAGACATGTTCATGATAGATAATATGAGGGTCGGTAAGGGGTATTTTTGTAAGCTGTAATAATTTGTTTTTTTCGTAATAATGTCATTTAAATAAATAAAAAGCGTAAATTTGTAGACATGATTAACGTGGAAAATGTAATCAGCTATTTTATTTGTCCACAATTTGTACAAAGATCTTATTTTTGTAAGCGTATAAAACATTTTTCACATTAAATGTTGTAATTCGTATGCAATTTCCAATTTTGATTCTTAAACACAAATTATCAAATATTTTATAAAAATGTAATTAAGAATTTGCTTTATCCGTAAAGTGTATAAACCCATTTTTTACTGTAAATGGAACTTTCATATTATTTTGTGTAAAAACCTAAAATGCCTTTTTTATTCCCTGTAACCTGTACCAGCTACCCCTTGCCCCTTATATGATTATTTAAACCCCCTTTGTCTAAGTTTCCAGGAAGTTACCACCAAGAAAGCTGAATTCTGTATTCTTGCATCAACAAAACTACTAAGCTTGGGACAGTCTGTACAGTAAGATTTTCTGTAGGGGGTCAAAGACGGAGCACTGTGTCTGACACTAGCCTCCCCAGTGATGATCCAGTGGTTTGATGTGCTTCGTGTGGTCCGTGACATCTTTATCAGTACTAGTGCTGTCTGACAAAGCAGTGATTTTACCTGTTCAGTCATACTTCGCTTACCACTGTCCAATTTTGAGCATTAGATATACTCTGTGGGCTAGTTGAGTTAGGCCTTGATTTGGAATTTGAGCACTCAGGTGTCAATAAATTGGTCAGCGTGGATTGAAGTGTGATCGGTATTTTTACTGAGATATGTTTTGATATGTCCAATGTGGTTAAGGTGTTTGCTATTGCACAACGTGGACTGGATCATGTCAATTATGTTATCTCGTTTGTTTCTTGTGGTCTTCCAAGATAACACTTCGTTATGAGTAAAGTTTACTTTAATAGAAACTGTTTTTGCTATAATGACTTGTATCCTATTGAAAGGTTTCAATTAAAGCTAATCTGTCCAAACTGCACTGTTTATTCTATTGCTGTTATCACAGCCTGATATTTTGAGTATATGTGCGAAGTATAAAATCTGAGTGTTTGTGGTTAACCACGCATGTGTATATAGAAACTTAGTATATGTACATAGGTTCTCAATTTCAAACACAGACCACATAGGTATAACCAGATTGATTCCTGCTGTTAAAACATTTCTTGTTAATATTATCAACTTCAATTCTGTGAATCAGATTGCTTTGACATTGTGCATCTAAACTTATAACTATATTAGTAACCATGTTCTCAAGTTACTAGGCAAGTCTTAAATATTTAATCATTTGAATATTTCCTGTATCTATTTCTTGCCTCCATTACCCTCTGCACATGGGAGTTCTTTAAGCTTTCCCTGGTTTAATTTGAAATTCAAAACACATTTTTTGCTTGCAAGGCAGACTAGTGGCCATTTTGAGATTCTTTTTGTTGTGTTCGTGTGGGCGTCTTTTCTTATGTATTAGTGTATATGTACTTGAATGCATTCACAATTATTGTCTGGGTAAGTTTCTTTTAGTGACCATACAGATGCAAACCAAAATAACTAGATTCTGTTATATCCAAAGACATATTTTTCAGGTTTTACCGGTATGTTTATTTGAAGCTATTTTTCTGATATTTCAGGTTGGCCATTAGAAAATGGAAAATATATTTATACAGAAATAAAAGCGGAAAAACAATTCTGTTGGACCAACAGTCTAAAACAACTAATGCTGATTCCAGAGAAAAAAAATTGGAGTATAAAAAGAAAAAGAAATGCACACAACTTCATCAGTTGCCTTCTCGTTACCCAGAGTTTATAATTTACCACCCATTATCAACATTAAATCTGGGCACTTATGACTTGTAAACTGACACTTATCTGTGAGACTCTACATTTTTTGTGTGAAGTTTTGGGTGAAACTATATTGCGGCAACGAACCTCGTTAACTACAAAAAGTTACTTTGTGTGGCTTTTAGGTTTGTTTGCCACATTCATTTTGTTGTAGAGTTGAGTTTTTCGCAAAAACATTCCCAATATCAATATTTCGCATAAAAAACAGAAGTATGCTTAATGTTTGTCAATGTAAAATCCTGCAATAATAATAATAATACCTTCAAATAATATCTTTACAAATCTTTACAATTGTTCTATCGGTTAATATGTAAACAAATAAATAAATGTAATAATAGTCAGAATTAGAAGGGAAAAAAAATCCCTGAACGGCTAAGCGAACTCACTAACAATGGACTTGCCAGATAACATGTATTACCATAATACCCTCTTAATGTATACTCGTATTACATTATATGCACTACCCCGTAAAACTACACATGACCTGCAAACCAAGAATGAATTTCACTCTACGGAAATAACACATAATCGTCCATAGATTTAGAAATATAATTTAAGTGTGGCATTATCACCTTTTCACGTATATATACCTTAGTGGTAGCTGGAAAGACGGAATAATTAAAATATAGCTTGAACGTGTAACTGATAGAGGGCGCTAGTTTCTCTGTGCAAAGATTCTGGATTCTATGAGGCAAAGAAATCGGAAGCAGTTAATTTGCCCGCTCTGCCTCGTCTCTATTGACGGTCTGGCATAGTATTACCTCACATGCTCCCCAAGCTTGTGAGGTAATACCATGCCAATCCGTATCGAATCATGGCATACAACCATACTAACTAACTATGTAGTATACACACTATTTACTGCATAATAATTTCATTACTGTAATCACCCAGACATTCCTATCTCCCCTGCGTTTCTGTAATTTTTGTAAAATTTGTGTGTTCTAAATATGTGTTCTGGAGTAACCATTTAAATTCCTTCTGAGAAATTTTAAGTGTTTCAATAAAACTGGTTGTCAGTGGAATCTTGTTTTGCCGAAAAATGCAATCAATCACATTACGCATAGTACTTTTAGATAGCTAGAAGTGTAAAATATTAAGAAACTTGTATTGTGTTTATTCATTTGTAATTCTGGCCGGATATAACAAAGATTAGGGAATATGAAACAATTGCCACACATTCAGTTCATAGTCATCGTAATGATGTTTGACCATTAGCCTACTACACGAAAAAGTATCGACTGGCAGAGAACGATATAATAACCACTTTGTCAGTATATTATATCACGTGTTTCAGTGTGGAGGCTTACATAATACTTGATCACCATACGTATTTAGTGTTTACCGTATTCTTGGGATATCTAATTTATAGTGATTTTAAAAGTATAAATAAAACATCTTCGTAATAGCTAATATGCTAGTAATTATTGATCCATATCTACAGCAAGTTCCAGAAATATTTGGCAACAAGTTACCTAACTTGCTCACTAATTCGCCAACCACTTTGCTTTTGACTATAATTAGATGATAACCTACAATTTGAATAACCCCTTCATTCTGTCACGATCACCATCAAATGCTAGTAATATCTGGGAAAAAAGAACAGTAATTTAAATTAGTTTTACAGAACTTAACAGTATGCAAAATTGTTTGCGGTGGTCAAACATGCTTTTTCATCTGCAATTAAAGATTTCAGCTAATTACGAGTTTTACTTAAAAAAAAGTATAAAAGTAAAATATTGTCTACTGGATATTTTGGTTAACCATCTAAAACTCTGTCGTCTGCCCCACACTTTTCCATGTGCTACTAAGACCAGACATATGTAAATAGCAGGAGGAGTTCTCTGAATAAAATATTGTAGGCAAGCTGAAGTAAAAAAAAAACGCGTAAAAGGGGTGTTATTTAATTATTTGACGCGTATACGCGTGTACCGTGTTTAGGGTCGAATATTTTAAAATATATAAATAAAGTGTGAAAAATGAATCCCATGAATTCATGTTACCTCAACTTGGAAACAATATGATTTTAGTATGTATAGAGAGTATCTATTTTGAGTTTCTGCACTTGATGAAAACGGGTATAATTTCACAAAAATAAATACGTGTTTAGAGGTATTTTTGAAAAGCTACACTTCAAGCATGGGTACCAGGTCTGACTTGGATTACCCCCCACCCCCCACCCCGGGCATATATGTAGCACTCCACACAAATGTGAGAGTCTCAATAAACAAAACAAAATATCAGACGAAGAAAAGGGGGTAAACACCATCCGTCTGTTCACGGTGAAAATAACGACAACAATAACCACACTGTATAATATACATACAATATCATTAAACGTCTAGCATCGAGAACATTAGAATTTACCGTTCCATAAAAAAACATATCTGAATTAGCGTGTGACTTTACGATATTCTCAGAATAATCTCATAATATCATTTTTTAAATTCATTTTGTCCCCCAAATCTATTACAGAATTTATAATGTCACATCTGAATTCTAGCCGTAATTTTACAATATTCCCTCGAATTATATTTTCAATTACCTAACACCATACATGGATTCACTGAATTGTTGCAGTGATGTCCTCGTTTATAATAAGCGACCCATTTTTTTTTTGAAAGACACAAACGAACATAAAATTCCTCTGTGTGTTTGTAATGTTACCGAATAAGCAAGTGATGACGAAATTATGTGCCTCACTTTGTTCTACACTCGTTTGTTGAATTTTATACGAGATATAAAACTCATCAAGTTCCCCTCCCTTATAATTTATCCCACCCACCCTTTTGTCCACGGTGGGCGGTTCCAAATAACATGCGTACTACGTCACAGCAACAGAAGTGACCGCTGGTCCTCGCTGTCAGGGAACTCGTTATTTTTCACTTTCCGTTTGGGTTATTTATAGTGACAATCTGACGGAGTTTGCTGGTAAGTTTGTTTTGTATCATGCCTTGTATTGCACAACTTTGTAAGATCTATTTTGACAGCGTTTGCTTTGTCCGTGGTTTCCCTGGATGAACACGTTTTGCGTTAACTCAGCTAAAATGGATGAAATGTAAACACACTTGATCAGTGCTGTCGTTTTACTTTCTGCAGTGTTTG